TTTTTTTTCGGGTCCCCTCCCAAAAAAATTTTTTGGGATTTTTTAAAGTTTTTTTTTTTTTTTTTTTTTTTTTGCCTAATTACATTTTTAGAAAGACGTCACCTGCTGTTTTTTGGTGGCAGGTGTCTTTGCCATTCCGCCAGATCACATTGTGGTAGCAGGTGTTTGGGGTGTTTTCTTTTTATTCATGCATCATTTCAGAGGGAATTCTGAAGCTCTGCCTCCAACAGGCCGGATCTTTTTCTTTTTTTTACACACATATATAAATATATTATTCATTTATTTATTTATTTTGTAGGTCGTGATCACTCTGTCGTTAAACTCTCACCCAGGGAATAAACGTCTCTCTCTCTCTCTCTCTCTGCCACCCGCGCGAGTCGGGAGCGCGAGGGCTGTGGCACTCTTTGCGGACACGTGCACGCTCCTCGCGCCCCCCACCCCTCTTCCCTCTTTCTCTCTCTGGTACTGATGCTGAGAATCCAGCATCTTTCTGATTCCAGCATCAGACGCTGGATTCTAAACTGAAAACACTCTTTGGAAAAAAAAAATAAAAAAATAGTGATACAATTAACGAGCATCCGGGACGCGTGTTGGTTTCTTCTTCTTCTTCTTCTTTTGTTGTCTTCCTTTATGAGGGAAGGTGATTTCTGATGGAGTAACATGGATGGACAAGCAAAGAAAAGCGGATGAGGATTTTTCTAACGATTTGGAGGAACATCAGCTGCGACGACATTCAAAGGCCAACAGGCATGATTTTTATGTAGGAGCGAAAACATCGATCTGCATGTTCTTTTGGGGGGGGCTAATCTGTCAGATTTTCTTGAAGTGAAGAACAAATTGATCTTGGATAAGTAATAATAACAATATTAATAAAACATGGCTCATCTAATCCGACACAAGATCAGCAACAAACTGACCAATGCGGCCCACACGGTGTCCAACAAATCCCAGGCCAAGGTCAGCGGGGTGTTCGCCCGGCTGGGCTTCCAGGCCGCCACGGACGAAGAGGGTCTGGGCTTTGCAGAGTGCGACGACCTGGACTACGACTACAGGCAAGGGATGCAGATGGATGTCCTCCGTGGGGACGAGGAGGAAGGGGGTGACATGGAGGGAGAAGGGGACGTGGAGGGGGACACCCGCTACCAGAGGGACGGTACCGGTCTGAGGCAGTCGACCCTGAAGAGCGACGGCTCCCTGGAGGAGGACAAGCCCAAAATCACGTCATGGGAAGCTGGATGGAACGTCACCAATGCCATTCAGGTGCTTTTATCACCCATGTGTGAGTCGGCGGGGGTGGAGAGGAGGTGGAGAGAAGGGTGAGGGGGGGTTACATGTGCTCACAACCAGCCCAAGGAATAGGCGAAGCAGGCAGCTCCCACTACAGCAGTAGAGGGGCAACATCCCACAGGTCAGGTGAAGAATTAAAAACGTTTTTTTTGAGTGAAGCTGGGGTAATCCTGGCATTCAGAATGTTAAATGTTAGTTTCATCATTTTCTCTGAATAAATTACTTAGGCGTTTAGTCTTCAGCATGCCTAGAAGAAAACAAAATATAAAATTACAACTTCAGCAAAAAAATAATGTTTGGATTTGTCGATTAAATATTTTGGGATGGTATTAAAAAAAAACAGGATTAAGGTAAGGCATATTAAGAAAAAACTTTAAAAATACAGATATACGTTATCTTAAGTTCTATGAGTCGGCCTCTATATCTTGCAACTCAATTCAAGCAAAACAATTTAAAATGTAAAGTTCACATACAATGCTGTGAAAGAAACAAATTGAAGACAACTGTACATACATTAACTTACCACTTACCAGTATTTTTTTACAGTGTATATTGGTAGACAAGATGTTCCAACATATTAAATTAAGAAAACATGACTAAAAAAATAAAAACATGTGCAATAAGTTATACAACTATGTACTTTCAAATAACATATTTAGTTACAGCAAAAAAAAAAAAGTTTTCAATAACAGTACAGTAATGGTTTTAAAGCTAGGTTGTCCTTTATTTTAATGTCTTTTTTTTACATCTTCTTATTGTAAGACTGAAATTATATAAATGATTTCTTTCACTCCTTTTAGGTTTATGTAACAAATTTACAGCGACAAGTATTTATTTCGGATCATTTACAATTAACAACAACAACAAAATAGAAATGTACAGAATCAAATTCACTGAAACATCCAGCGCTGTTATATTTTTGGTCAATAAAAGTGTTGTTTATTATATTCTGGCTGGTAAATGCTTTCCTTAATCGTGGTTATGTTAGATTCATAAAGCATTAAGCTTCAGTAAAACACTAAATCTGATTAGGGCCCCAAACCTACTTGGATCGTCTCTGCATGCAGCTGCATGAGGCCTGCCACGGGACTAAAGGAGTCACCTTGATTTGACATTTTTACATTCTCAGACAGTCGGAAATGTAAGATTGAAATACATTGTTTTTGTTGGACTGAAGCAGAAAAAAAAAATCTGGGGGGTAGATTTCGGTCGTAATTAAATGCAGAACAATTTCACGCTGCATTCGCGCTTTGTGCGTGAGTCCACTGCGGTGAGCGGCTCTCGCGGTTTATTTATTCAAATCTTTTTATCAGCGGAGCTCCAGGCAGGGCCTGGTTGACATCGATTGCCACGAGGTGCGCTTATCGGCGTCTTCATCAAATTACAATTACAGTCAAAGAAATAAAAATAAATAAATAAATAAAAATATAATGATTGAATGATTCGACGTGGCGCTGACCAAATGGGATGTGGAAACGCATTGTTCATTAACAATAACAGATTGCATTTAAAAGAAAAAAAAAACATTATTATTCTAAAGCCCATTCGATGAACGTCTTAAATCGTTATTATGTAAGACGGGAGCTGACTCCCCGGGCTGATCGGCCTGTCACTGCGATGCGGGGCCTCGCTTATTATCACTGAGCTGCGCTTCTCTGTCCGCAGGGCATGTTCGTCCTCGGCCTGCCGTACGCCATCCTCCACGGCGGATACCTCGGCCTCTTCCTCATTATCTTCGCGGCAGTGGTGTGTTGCTACACGGGCAAAATCCTCATCGCGTGCCTGTACGAGGACAACGAGGACGGCATCAAGGTGCGCGTCAGAGACTCGTACGTGGACATTGCCAACGCCTGCTGCGCGCCCCGCTTCCCCGCACTCGGCGGCCACGTGGTGAACGTGGCCCAGATCATCGAGCTGGTCATGACGTGCATCCTGTACGTGGTGGTCAGCGGCAACCTGATGTACAACAGCTTCCCCAGCTTCCCCGTCTCCCAGAAGGCCTGGTCGGTGCTGGCCACGGCCGCGCTGCTGCCCTGCGCGTTCCTGAAGAACCTCAAGGCCGTCTCCAAGTTCAGCCTCCTGTGCACGCTGGCGCACTTCGTCATCAACATCCTCGTGGTCGCCTACTGTCTGTCCAGGGCGCGCGAGTGGGCGTGGGAGAAGGTCAAGTTCTACATCGACGTGAAGAAGTTCCCCATTTCCATCGGCATCATTGTGTTCAGCTACACCTCCCAGATCTTCCTGCCCTCCCTGGAGGGGAACATGCAGAAGCCCAGCGAGTTCCACTGCATGATGGACTGGACCCACATCGCAGCCTGCGTCCTCAAGGGCCTCTTCGCCCTGGTGGCCTACCTGACCTGGGCGGACGCCACCAAAGAGGTCATCACAGATAACCTGCCCTCGACCATCCGGGCTGTGGTGAACCTCTTCCTTGTCGCCAAGGCGCTCCTGTCCTACCCTCTGCCGTTCTTTGCAGCCGTAGAAGTTCTGGAGAAATCACTGTTCCAGGACGGCGGCAGAGCCCTCTTTCCTGACTGCTACGGCCCCAACGGCCAGCTAAAAACATGGGGTCTTGGCTTAAGAGTAGGCCTGGTGGTCTTTACCCTGCTCATGGCCGTCTTTGTTCCGCATTTTGCCCTGCTGATGGGTCTAACTGGAAGCCTGACGGGTGCAGGCCTGTGCTTCCTCCTACCGAGCCTCTTCCACCTAAAGCTCCAGTGGAGAAACCTTCTGTGGCACCATGTCTTCTTTGATGTCTCCATTTTTGTTATTGGGGGCATATGTGCCATATCAGGCTTCATCCACTCCATTGAAGGGCTCATAGAGGCCTATAAGTACGACATCCATGACTGAGAGTGGGAGGCTCGCAAAATACACGGTTTTGACCGTCTGGACTTTAAAAGGAGAATAATTTGTGTGAAATGTATTATCTTTTTATTTTTTGCCTTTGTGATAATGTGCAATAAAGAACTATATTCACCGATTAGGCACAACATTATGACCACTGAGAAGTAAGGTGAAGAACACTGACCAGCTCATCGTCGTCGTCGTTCCTGTTGGTGGGTGGGATGTGCTCTGTAGCAAAACAACATTTTGTCCTCGAAGGTGGACCAAATTATGGTGAGGTGTTTCCAGCTTTCAGCTGGAGTTAGATTTGACGTCATCTATATGGGTGGTTGCCCAGGGCTGTGTTAGAAATGGAGCAGCACAGGCACTAAATTAAAACAAATAGCTTATCAGTCAGTTGCACCCTAATTGCCTCTATGCATTTGCAGTCATTGGAGATTCTACACCCGTGTGTGCTGATTAGCTGCAGCCTGGTCCAAATGTTTCAATGCCAGCATTTGAACATGCACTGATTTTCTCATTTGAAGCTACAACACATTTAAGTCGATTTTGTTGTCATTGAAATCCATTCTTATACTTCAGTGTTCAGTTCATTCTCTTCTGCTTTAGGCTTATTGACATTTCCTCCAATGTACTTCCATTTTAACAAAGGTCAGTCTGTTATGACTACCCTTTTGACTTATTGGCTCTACATTAACTTAACTCGCTTGGTCTTTACTGTGTCAATTGTTAATACAAAATTATTGTTTTTTTTGTTGTTGTTGTTTTACCAGCAGTAGTACTTGTACCACAGTTAGAAAAGTCTAACATAATGAAAGAAGGCAAGTAAGCAAAGACAATGCGATGCTATAGATAAACGTTCCTTTGACACGTACCCTTTCACGGATGCATTATTCTCTGATGGCCGTGGTGTTTGTGGAAATGTTACAAAGCAAAGCCGGTTCAGAAATTGCTTGAGGAACATAACAAGTCAGAGGTGTTGACTTGGCCTCTGAATTCAGCAGACCTAAATCCAGTCCAGCATTTGTGTGACGTGATGGACAAACAAGTCCAAGTCGTGGAAGCCCCACGGCCTACAGACACCACAGTCAGGGATGTTTTGGCAGCAAACATCAGGACCAACACACTATTAGTCAGGTGGTCATAATGTTATTCCTAATCGGTGTTGTGTAAAGTAGTTTACTCATTCCAAAAAAAAAAAAAAAAAGTGTATCATTCAGCAGACAGAGAGGACACAAGCTCCGCACCAGAAGAAGAGGGCATTAAAGACTCTGTCCATGTGTCGACCTTTATGCAAAGATTCAGTAAAAATGTCAGTAAGTGTGTCAGTGTTCGTATTCGAGGAATGAAATATGTGGAAAAACAATCAAGTCAATATGTTATTGTTGGTTTTTGAGCTGCTATAGGTATCAATAATCAGAGAAAACAACAGGCACTCATCAGATCAGATGGTGCTCTATAAACCATGAATATCTTCTGTGTAGTGGTCTAAACAGAATGAATACATTTCTGTTGGGACTTGTAGTTTCTTCTTCTTTTTTAATATTCTGAAGTCCTCCTTTGTTTCCTCTGTGTTTTCAAGTGTCATTCTGGATGGAGTGAAATCAAGTGCAGGCAAGTGGATCCTAACTGTGTAATATTGCAAAACAAACAAACAAAAAAGATGAGTGTCTGATAATATTCTGTTCCTATTGAACGTGTTCTTCATTGTGATTTGTTGGAACTACTCATGGTGTGTGAGATTAAGAGTATTTGTTGAATTAAGAGGTAAATAAATGAAATATTTTATTGCTGGTGACTCTAATGTTTCATTGCTTAGAGTCATTTCCACAGGACACTTTTCAACTTCCGTTCTGAATGGTTAATTAAGCTTCCTCTTTTTTTCTTTTTTTTGTAGTGTTAGCACTCAAAGAATACTGTTTAAGTGTGCTCTAGTTCAATAAATTCTTGATAGTCCAATCTACTGCATATAAGCAAAACGTACACACACCCATCCCTTTACAGCACAGACATTTAAAGTCAAACAACAACCACTATTTTCATCTTAAGGATAATAAAAGAACACTTTCAAATTACCGGTCATACCTATTGTTCAAACGATGGGAAAAAAATATTATTTCCCGTTTGTTAGTTAATGCCTAAGTCTTGAATAGTTTAGGTATTTTTTGATGAGATTACCTACACCCGCTAGCTTAGAAGCAACACAGGAAAATTAAACTTGTGACTTTCAGTTCCTCATACCATCATAGACAACTATCCCCCTGCTATTGTCAGGTGTCAGCCAGTTTCACTTCTCATCAGCGCGGTACAAGAAGTACAAGTCGCATGTCTTCGCTTGTCTGCAGCCACAGTACGAACAGGCTGAGTTCTCGTCCAGATCAAAATCCTTCTGCAAGAGCTTTTTAATCCAACTTCATCCGCCATCTGTGCCTCGTTTCAGGTATGTTATCAATGTCACTTTTGCTTTTCAGAGGCTTTGAAACATGCTGGAAAGGATTGAGCTGTTGTTCAAATTGATTTTTCTTTTGTCGTTTTACAGGTACGGGAGGCACAGAAGAAGAAGAAGAAGAAGAAGAAGAAGAAGAAGAAGAAAAAAATGCTTCCATGTGTGATAGTAGTTTTTGTGCTCCTGTCGTGCGCGTGTGGAGAGAACCCTGCAGTGCAAGTCATCCTGACAAACAAAGGGCTTCAGTACGGTAAGGGGACGTGAGATGCTCTTAAAACACCCAAATGCTTGTAATTGCTGTTAATCATTGACTATATCACAATCATAGACTTTATAACAAGATATGTGCTGCTTTTCCGGGATAAGGCCTAAAACTTTTTATAATTATTCAAATATTTCTTTAAATTTGTCACATGACACCCTTCAACTCAAAATGGTATGAGATGGATGGATGGATGGACGGATGGATGGATGGATGGATGGATGGATGGATGGATGGATGGATGGATGGATGGATGGATGGATGGATGGATGGATGGAGCAGCAGCTTAGTTTGTTCAGCATATGTCCTGCTCTGCTATCCATGCGCCGTTGTTGCAGGAAAACATGAGGGCACCGGATGGATTCAAGAGAAGTTGGAGAAAATAACCTTTCCTGACATCAGTGGCAGTGTTAACATCCACATCGGAAGGGTATACTACACACTATCAGGGTAGGATTGTGTTTTCACAGTAACAAGCTTTCACAGCTTTGTGTGTCTACTGGTTTGCCATGTTTCATTCATATAACCTGCAGATATCCCAGACTTCAACGTACATTTCCACCCCTGTTTTTTTTTTTTCCTCTTGTGTTTTAGTGTGACTATAAAAAAGTGCGACCTTCCAGAGCCTAGCGTAGAGTTTGTCCAGCAGAGCGGCTTGACGACATCAATAGCAGGTCTCAGTTTTGCTCTTGCCGGGGAGTGGAGGAATCACTTTGGTTTGATGTAAGTTCTGATTCCTTTTTGACCTTCAACGCTTTGATTAAAACACGAATGGCCTCATCTTTCCCTAAGACCCGTTGCATTGGTGCTTCCATAGGATACAGTTTTCAAGACATCCTGACCTTCCAAATAAATCAATTTTTCCAGTTGGTTAGCCAGATTTGTTGAAAGGAAGACAGTCTTCACTGCTTTTGCAACTCTACCAGGAAATTATTTTATCGCAGTGGCATCTCAAAACAATTTTGAAAATCTTTTTTTAAGTTTTCTTTTTGCTATAATGAGGAAGTTTGTGATTTATTTTACTTCCTGTTTCTACCTCTGTCTTTCACATCAAGTTTAGCATAAAAAATTAGAACAGAAAATAACATTTAACACAGTTTTGGTAAGATTTAGATTCTGAATAGCCGCAAGTAGCAGAATGATAGCACTGAGAAAATGAAGCGCATTATTGTGAGCATTAAGTAAAACTAAGCTACATTTTACTAACATTATTTCAGTGCCTTTCAAGAATATCCACATCCCTTAAAATGTTTCCCATTTTGTCCCATTGGCTTCAAATTTCTATGTCTTTTATATTGGAAACTAACATGAAACAAATTCCTTTCACAGAAGTGAAAGGAAGAAAAAAAATACGTACACTAGTTATCGAATTCACAAAACAAAAGTTGAAAAGTGTGGCCTGCATGTGAACATGTGTCACACACCTTAATAAAATCTGATGATCTTATGAGACTCCTGAGGAGGAAATGGATCTATCTGGTCACAGATCTCTTCCCTCATTCAAAAAAAAACAAAAAAAAAAACACGACTGACATTAAAAAAAAGCAATGTTTGCAGTTTCCTGCAATCCAATTAGTGAACACAGCAAATGAGGAAGAAGGATCTCTGCTCAGATGACACCAGAATGCAACTTTTTTTTGACCCACATGTAAAACCTTGGTGAAACAAACAACACTGCACATTACCCTGAACAATGTTGAGCCACATGTTGAAGCATCATCCTTTTTCTCAGGAGAGACACGTACATTATTTACATACACATGCTCAAAATCAAATATATGTTGATTATTGTTTTATATAAAAACCTGCTAAACAGCATTAGTATTTGGCTAGAGCTTGGTGAGGTATGCAGCAGCACCACTGATCTTCATCTTTTAAATCTCCAGACATGACAGCGGATCATTCGACATGGCTATATTTAACATCGACGTGACCTCTGCCGTGAAGCTTGGGAGCAATGCTGGGGGGCATCTGTCTGTCACCAGCGTCAACTGTACAGCTTCGGTCGGAGATGTTTCCATGCAGTTCCACGGTGGAGCCAGGTACAGAGAAAAAAAAAAAAAAAAAAAAAAAAAAAAATAAACAAAGGGATTTATCTACCTTACTTAAATGCCAGGGTGTCAAATCTGTTTTCTTTTATGTCCACAGTTGGATTTTCCAGCCATTTGTCAAGTATTTCAAAGGACATATCATTGGAATAATACAAAGTAAAGTATGTATTTCAGCAAGCCATTCAAACATATTACTGATATTATACTTCTTAATCTTACCACACTTAAAACTGTAAATCCCAGCTTGTTTTGTGGCTTGTTTTGTACTCAGATCTGTCCTGAAGTGGAGGACACCATCATGAACTTAGACCACCATCTACAGGCCATGAACGGTACTGCAACATCCTTTAAATAGAATCTCTTCAAATTTAATTGAAAGATTCAAGACTACTGATTGAATTAAAACAATACTTTCTATGTATTGTGTCAGTTTCCTTTGATGTAAATGAAGTTCTTAGCTTTGACGTCCCTCTCACTGGCGACCCTGACATTGAACCTTCGAATATGAAGTTAGGGTTTAAGGTAAGCCATGGCAACCAGGACGCAAGCTTCAGGAACTGCTTCTGTGTGGCATCATGAACGTGTATTCATGTTTTATGACAGATTGTGTGATCTTCTCATTTGAAGGGAGAGTTCCACAGCATCGAAACTCACGCAGAGCCCCCATTTGTGGCCCAGGAGTTCGTCTTGCCTGAGCTGGCAGGTTATATGCTGTCAGTGGGCTTATCAGAGTTCACGCTGAACTCTGCCTCATTTGGGTACTTCTCAGCAGGACAGCTCCAAGCCTTCATCAATGACAGCATGGTAGGTGCAGCCACAAAGAGAGAGAGAGCAGAGGAGGGAAATATTGTGAATTTGTATTTGCGGATTTCTCGGTTTGCCGATGCTTCCATGGTTTACGGTTTCAGATACCCCCATATATTCCTTTCCGCCTGAATACCTCAGCAATGGGAGGTTTCATCCCTCAGGTAGGCTTATCTGTTCCGACTTAGTCGCATAGGGGTATCAATTAAGTTTTCTTCCTTTAAACTGAGTATTCTGAAACGTTTCCCCTCCCCCCCCCTCTCTCTCTCTCTGTCCAGCTTCCCAAGATGTATCCGGGTTTGCTGATGAATCTTCAAGTGAATGCCAGAGATGCTCCAATGTTTTCCTTCCAACCCGGCTCTGGTGTCCTGGATGTCCACATCTGTGTAAAGGCCTCTGCCACTGAATCCAATGGTACACAGGTCCCACTGTTCACACTCTACATTGTAAGTACCTGTGCTGTTTTACCTAAGAGAATGACCAAATGAATTATGTTATGCACCCTGGCCTTCTAATTTTACATTATAGTGTTGGTAACCCAAATATGAACTGATTTCTACTTTCAGTCTGCTGATATTTCGCATGCCAATCAGCTGGACTAATTCAAAAGAAATCAATAATTTAATCATGCCATATTTTTTTTTCCTTTGAAGGACTCAAGGTTCACCGGTAAAATGATGATTGCCGATGGAAAGCTGAAGGGCTCCATGATGTTGAATAAGTACGCCTTAAATATGTATCAGAATGAAATATTTGACACCCAAAGTTTTAGCTTCCCTCAAAGTTAACAACACTGCTCCCTTTTAGTGTTACCTTGACACTGGGCTCAAGTGAAATTGGAGACTTTAAGGTAAGTGGCAAGTAAAAGTGGGTCATTTGATTTGGGTTGTGGTGTAATATGCCATGTTTCTGTTTGCAGACTGATGCTTTGGAAAACGGAATAAAGAGCGGGATGGTTGTGGTCTTAGGCAAACTGAACGGTGAGTTTTAGTTAAATCACTTTGCCCACAGCTCATGATCTCATGACTGATTTCGACTTCATTAAGTCTTACATGTAATAGCAGCAAATAAATATATTTTAAATATTTAGATCAGATGCTGTTAAGCATTTGTGTCATAAAATATATTTTGTTTCAGCAAAACTGGGAGAAGGGATCATGTTACCAAGAATGAAACACGCACAACTGGTCAATACGGTCCTGAAAATGCAGAAGGTGACCAACTTATCCCACACATTCATGTTCTTTGATTAACACAAATGTCTTTTTGCCTGACTGATCATTGTCTGTCTTCCAAACAGGGGTTTGTAGGCATTTATTCAGATGTGCAGATTCTGCAGACAGACAGAAGCTCCTACTTGTCAACATCATACCTGTGAAACATTTTTTTTTTTTGTTCTTGGCTCACACTCCAAATCTGAACTGCTTTAACTGATCTGGTTTGAATCTCTCTCCACGAGAGAAATGCACCTTTGACTGGAATATAAACCTGAATCTACCACACCTTGCTACCCAATGCGTACAAACACGTGAACAGAAAATTAACACATGTAAAAAAAAAACATATGACCATTCATCTGGTCCTGAGCGAGACAACTGACCAGCAACTGGAAGCATCCTGCTTGTATTTGTTTCATAATAAATATTGACAAGCTTCCTACATGGTGTCATGGTCTTTATCCAAACACTGCAACCTTCACATTCTTGGTAAAGTTGATCCAAAACCCATTTACATCGAGTCATTTTTCATTCATAAATGCTGAAATACTGTAATTAAAAATTTTATGTTATGTTCCATTTTCCCAAGGTATAAATATGACATAGAGCTCAATTCTTTTAGCCAATATGCTGGACTGGAAGAATCAGATTATTTTGAGCAGGATGATAAGGAGATGGGGGGAAAAAAAAGTCTCCAAATCTTATTAATCCTGTTATAAAATCATTGCAAAAAGTGGGATTTGGGTGAACATGTCTCCATAGCAACTATTAGAAACCTACTTGCATCTTTTTTTTCTGTATTTCCCTCATAGAATCGTTTTTCACTTTTTAGGACTGCTTTTTATGAAGAAAAAAATGACTTATTACCGAGTGGATTTCTTTCAGTTCTTTTAAAACTCCATTTAAATATGAATTTAAAAAAGAAAAATATCTCACAATCTAAAAAAAAAGAAACCATTACAAATCATCTATTTAAAATAGTACAGAGACAATTCAGAAAGCAGACTCCACAGCACTGATGAAACAATGATATCTCTTTTATTTTGAAACAATCCAGTGCTCACTCTTGTTTCTGGTACACATTTACATTCTTGGAATGTAGCACCATGAAAATATAAATGAGTCTATGAGTATTTACAGCCGATGTTAAAATGTTCCCCATAGAAAAAAAAAGCACTACTTTTATGAAACAAGACACTGTATTCAGAGGATAACATGATGGAAACAGTCTGTAAAATATTACTTAAAAAAAAAAAAAAGATGTTTTGAATTGGTAGCTGGAGTGAAAAAGCCCAGAATTGATAATGAGATCGGACCGACTGTAGACTGGTGATGTTACCAACCTTTCAGAAGGTAAGAGCTGAATTCTGTAAGAGCATTAGTCTGAACAAAGTTCCATTTGCACAAATGAAAATTTTACAGTGAGAAGAAGGAAGTCCATGAAGAGTGCTAGAGTAGACGGACCAAACATCCACTTAGTTTATACGGGTCTCCTCCATTCAGCTAGAACCAAAACTGAATAAAACACCCGCTTCAAGTTATACACAACGAGCAGTTCACCAGTCTTAACAAGTATTCAACGCAACAAAAAACAATACTGACATTTACAAACAGGAAGATGAAGTGGTCAAAGCATACAGAGAGGATAATGTGACAAAGTTCAACCGTAAGCTGGTATTAAATTAGTAAAGTTCTTTGTAACTGATGTTGGCAGTGCAGAGATCCTCCGCTGACATTAGGGAGAATCAGCAAAACGCCGAACCCACTCCTTCCATTTTACGTTTGCACCCTGCTGGGACCTTCTTCCACTTATAAAGTTTACATACTGAAAATAAGTTAAACATTCAAACATGAACATTCTTAAACTGTAACATGTAAACCATACAGCATATCCTCACTGTAGAATGGAAGGGAATCTTTTTTTTGTTTTTAAATAGATCAGACAGACTGCAAAAAAGAGGAGACCAATCAACTATGCTGATCAACCAGCACCTGCATCACATTGTAATCGTTTTGAGAAGCTCAAAGCTGCTCCTCCTCTCTTAGGAACAATACTCTACGGCGCCACCTTCTGCTCATGGCTGGCTTTGGACCGCTGCAATCAGAGCACATCGGCAGTGTCAGATTTCTACAAGTACCTTGAGAACCTGTCTTTTCTATCACCGACTCCACCTCTTCAGTACCACAACAAGACTAGGTCCAATTTAAACACACCCTGTTGCACAAAAAGCAGGAAACAGAGAAATGTAACCTCAAAATATGAGCAGCTGCTGAGATTTTTAGCTTCCAGTTGATCCTACAGCCTGTCTGCTCTGACAGCTTTTAGAACTGGATTAAGTGGTCAGTCAGTCTAAAAATGCTTTGAAATAACAATGAAATGTTACAGCCGGAGAAAAACGAGGGGGACGGAAAAGTTGGCGTTGCCGGGTGGATGTGTAGGCACAGTGTGAATCATTTTTAAAAACACTTCCATGTCACAAAACGACAGTCCTGTGAGCTTCAAGCTCAGTCTGAGTCAACCCTGTTTTTCTAAACCACCTCAGTGTTCCCTGGTATTCTCCTCAGAAACGAGTGGAGACGGTCGGTGCAGACTTGCTGAGGAAAAACGGACCAAGTTCTCGTGGAAAAATCCAGACAAGCATGTGTGGGACCAGAGGACGGGACGGTCGGTTTTAGGCTGTTTTGGCAGATTAGAGGGGGGGGGAAACGGGGGCATGTTTCAGTCTGTCAGTTAATGGTGCTGGAGTAAGCAGAAAATACATTAAAAAGAAATGCAGAGGTCATTTTTCGGTGACAGCGGCTGCCATTGGAACGCGCATGGAGCCACGAGCAGTGGCTGCTAGCTCCTCGATCTCAGTGTTCAGCCGTCTGATGACCCACTCCATCGCCTCCCGACCCTGAAACAGATGTTCACACAAGTCACAAACAACAGGAAACAGAGACTCTTGTCGTAAAAGAAACATCAAGACAACTTTGTTTTGGTGTTTGGTTTAAAAAGATCAAATAAAAACAGACTCACCTTATTGGCGTTAACAGATATAGTGTTAGCCATGAGTCCCTCTAGATAGCTGCTCAGACTGACGCCTTTTACACTGATCAGCGCCTCCTGAGTCAACACCGTTCTGAAAGCACGAAGCAAACCAATGCAGGTTATAAAAAGCACAACCATCACTCCTTGTTGTGTTATAGAGATTATATACATTAGGACAAAGATGTGAGAAACAACATATTTTGGGCAGATGTACTGCTTCTGGCTACGGCGTACACAAGTAAACCTAAGCCACTTACTTTCCAGGGTCTTCTGGATGCGGCTTGTATGTCAACTTCTCATCGACAGATACAAGGTTAGTGAAGGAGATCTAGGCAGATGAAACAGACACAATTAATGGTTTTAAAAAGCAAAACGTTGAAACAAATCTCAATTAAATTTCCATCCGAGAGAGCCTAGAAAGAGTCATTTTCTAACATGGTTTGCTCCTACCTCCAAAAGTCTTAAAAACAAAACAGATGCTGGTCTTTATTCCCCTTGATCGTTTTTTTTTTTTACCTTTGCAGTTTTGCACCCGACTCTTTTGGGAGTGTCAATACCTTCAACTATGTGTCACTTCAGATCAACATTAGAAATGTCAGACCTGTGCAGTACACTTTTTGTATCACTTGAATATTGTCTGAATGCCTAAATCTACTCAAATAACCAACCATTTGCAACAAAAAGATATTATGTTATAATTTAAAACTAAAAAATGTTTTTTACAGCAACATGTCAAGCATCTTCCAGTAGAACAACTGCACTAATTAGGGCTTTCGTTATTATTATTTTCCAATTTTCTAAAAAAATAAATAAATAAATAAATAAATAAATAAAATTTCATAAAGCACCAAAATGCTCAACTCAGAGAAAAAGTACACACAAATTACTAAAATACTGTAAATATTAAGAAAGGGAACACGGCTGCAAACTGGTGAAGGGTTTAAATGACCAGCAGCCAACAAAAACTGAGGCCCTTTGATTGATTCCCAAAGTGGGATCTAAACCCACTTTGGACTCAAGCTTGAATACATTAATTTGTTCCTCTAACTTGGACTCCACACATTCACATCAGTTCTACTTACATTTGTTGACTGCAGCTCAAATGTTTTCTGCTCAGGGTCCACGACTGAATGCTCTTGAACATACGTGCATGTTCTCGTTACTCCAATGATCTGAAAGCAAAGCCACCTGTCAAGCCCGATGCAGACGGAAGAACTTGGAACGTGATTAAAGTCAAAAGTGTCTCGTAGATGAATAGACATACAGATTTGGCTATGGCGGGAAGCCCCCACTCTGTGCTGAGAAGTCTGGTGCTGTGTAGCCGTCCATCTGAGTCAACATTTCTGTCCAGAACGTCAACACCAAACACACTGGGGTTCATCGGGTTGGGGTACTTCTGCATCGCTGCTTTGGTCACCGTCTCCCATGGGTGACTGGTAATATGAAAAGAAAGAGATTATGTTTATTACAGCTCAACGTCTACAAAAAGACTTGAGTTGTTGTCTTCTTCTATCCAGTTTTCTGAACTATTTTAAAATAAGCAAAGCATTTACACCACGATTAAACAAATGGGTACAAAATGGAGTTGAGTTTGGGAGGTTGTTTAACAGCATTTATGCATTAATTCACACCAGCAAGGGGCCATTTTTGAAACTGTTTTGAAAATCAAACATTTTTAATTTTCGACAACCTGATGTCAGAAAAAGTGGTTGTGTGTGTCCAGTTAGACAGGACAGGAAACTGACTCCCTGTCTAGCTTGACCATCTCAGCCCTATTTCATTAAGAAAATACGGATCCAAGCAGAGATCAGAATTAAATTACATAGAGGGGAAGATAATTGTGCATTGTGCATGAGTAAAAAGAAAAATGGAAGAAAAAAGTTTGCAATGTGTGAGTGCAAACTGACCCAAAGTGTATGTATTTTAAACAATTTATCTAAATATCAACAATTGTAGCTTGTGTCATGCTTATGTTGCACTGTTTTCTTCAGAACTTGCAGGGTGTTATTTTCTTCTTCTCTGCATTGCTGTTTTTCTTTTTTTATATATTCTTCTGAACTGATCTGGATATTTTCTATTGGTCAAATAATAATTCAGTTTGACATTATATTTACTGCATAACATAAGAGCACACATTTAAAACTATCAATATTCACTAATAGTATTTTTGCTTTGCTCTGAAAAAAAAAAAAACAAAAAAAAAAGAAAACCGGTGTCTACTATAAGATTGTTATGTCACAGGAACACAGAACTGAATCAATTGCAGCCCGACTGGCCGTTTCCAGGCAGCAGTGCGGCGTTGCTGCGCACTGCGCAGACTCACAGCATCACTACGTAGCAGCTCCCCCAGAAACTTCTAGAAATGGAAAATAACACAAACCAGACTATTGTTCTGCATCTAATTCAGTTCAGCCTCCTGATAGGATCAGAGTGTAATTTAATCCTTGCTTATTTGATGGATGCGCCTCTGCTCCAACACTGCATCACGCCGACAGTTATGTAACAGTGAGAATGCTATACATAACGTTAAACTGGTCGCCGTGGAGGCAGATCTGAACCCGCGATAAAAAATAAAAAATAAAAAAAACTAAAAAACGATATGAGAAAACCACCCGAATTCAAGAAAAACACACGAAAACATCAGTTAATTTTAAACAATGTGACGAAACTTAACAAAAACTAGGAAAAAAAAGAGCTTAGAATAGAAAACTAAAGCTGTCGGTGTGTTAACTCGGCTAACTATCGGTTTACTCCTACTCAATAAAGACTTCATAAGCTAAAATGCCTAAAGTATCTCATGCTAGCTATTATAAGCGGCAACATACATGTCTGATAAACGACTGGCAAGACACTTTAAACCGCTTTCATTCGAGTTACCTAACTTCTCCACAACCTTAGCTGAAGAAGCTAACAACGGTAGCGGTTAAAAAGAAGGAACAACTCAAATTGGCTACACAATAGACAAAACCATAGCTCTGCAACCCGTACGGCTGGTCAAATATCTTGGCATGAAGAAAGGTACTTACTTGAAAATGTGCTCTGACGCCCAGATCTTCATTTTTACAGGCTTTTCCGTCAGAAGCTCGGGAGCCGGTGACTAGAGACAGCGTGACCGTGAGGGGGAAGGACGACAACCGACTACAGCCCTGCTTTGGGTGTTTGTAGCTGAACAGCGTTACTGCCCCCTAGTGGTAGAACTGCATACTTCACAGCGTTATCCAGAACAATCTACAATTTATTTAATTAATTTCCTTTTTTCCTCTACTCTAACAGATTAAAATAAATAGGCTACAGTTACTCACTACGTGGTTTTACACAAATTCAGTCTACATTTAAGATTTCTGCCAAAAATAAATGGTATATTTAAGTGTATTCAATATAAGGGTTATAGCTAAATAGTTTTGCACTAAATTATGAAAAAAGCAATCTCAATATCTCTAAAATGAAAACTGAGCGCTTATAAACACTCTTTATGGAACGACATTCTAAAAATAAAATTACGTTTGGATTTTTTAAATATACAATCTCAATCAGTCAATACACACAAGCTATATTTTAAAAAATGAATACATAATTCTTCGAATTATGCATTTTTAAAATAAATAACAATATTAAAAATAAAATCAAGTACTGAAAAATAAAATGAACTATGAGAATAGAATAGAATAGAATAGAATAGAATAGAATAGAATAGACGATTTAAATTACAAACTCTTTGTTCACATCTTAAAAGAAAAAAACAGTAGTAGCATTGTATGGGGTGGCCCGTAACACTGCACATTAATAAATGTGTTAAGGTAATATTTTATAGTCAGTGGACTGCATGAAGCGGAATCAATTATGTAAGAGACCTTTGTCTTGTCAGTGTTTGAGGGAGCTTCTGTTTAGGGATGTGCAATTGCTATCTCTGCCAATCATTGACAGACTTGCTCCCGATTGGACAAAATAAGCTTGGCGTATGTGATATGACGTCATCACGCACCTTCCCGACCTGTCCTTGAAGTCACGGAGCAGTCAAAATGGTTGCATACTGGAGACAGGCAGGCCTGAGGTAACAAAATGATGTTAAATTTTATTTAGTGGGTGATTCTTTGGAAACTGTGATATGTATGAACATATCTTGTTCGTACAAGTAAAAGTATTTTTAAGTGTCGTTTCGTCTTTATTTGATTTGTGTGGTTCTGCTCCATGCTATTAGCCTCAGTTAGCTTTGATGCTTAACCTACCGATTTGCACGGGTTCTAATTAGAGTTAGACTGTCAACGAAAAATGTTGACTGGCTCTTTTAGGTGCATTTGTAACTTGAAACACATGGAACTACCTTTCCGGTCATAATTAGACTTAGCATATGTTGTTTAGCATTAAGCTAACCGGTGTGTCCTTCATGCAGCTACATCCGCTTCTCCGCTATCTGCGCCAACGCTGTGCGGGCTGCGCTGAAGCCGCAGTTCAAAGGCGAGGCACTGAAGGCCGCAGAAGCCAGCGTCAAAATCATCAAGCCAAAAACAGCATGTAAGTTAATAATAATAAAAAAAAAAAAAAAACCTGCTAGAGAGTAGTTCTTTTCGTCCTTATGTTAGGATGAGCAGCATTTATTCAGGTTCTAACAGCAGAATTTGAAGTTATTGTGAAATCCACATCATTCTATGATGCATTCTACTCACCCAAGACTTTCAATTAGCCATTAATTAGTATTATTCACGGGCTGTCTATTGGTACTGAGCAAAACTTTCAGATTTGTTTGACAAGAGAAATATCAAATATCATAACATTAAAATGATGCCAAATTCTTGTGTGTAGGTTAAAAGTATGTTTTAAGATCTGAAATTGTCTTGTAATTTCTCTTTAAATTTAATCTGAAACTTGACCCATAATTGCTAAAAAAATACTTCATTAGATTTAAAAAAAAAGTATATTTGTGCTATAAAATCTCAAGCAAACTACTTTTTTCATAAATATTTTAGTCAGTTAATTGGCCTGCAATTGTAAATAAAGCAAAAAGTAGTATCTTTTCTCATTATAGACAGTGTAAAATACTTACTAGTACAAAAAAATTGGGTAAAAGGGCAGTATTTCCTTCCAGTAATCTCTCAGAACGGTCGTTTGATAGATTAATCACACGTATTTTAAGCTTTCATTTTGTGCACATTTAATGATTATGGCTCACAAATATAGAAAATCTCAAATTTAGTGTCTCAGAAAATTAGAATACTGTGAAAAAGGTCATTATTAGAAACTCAATTAGTGTACTTGAGTGGATGTTCAAAAACAATACAACTAATGCATTGCTCATCTTTGAAATATAGGCTTGTCTGTCATCACTTCCAAGTAGGTTTTCGAGGGGATGTGTATTAATATTTCTCTTTCTCCTTTGTTTCCTCTCAGGATGTGAATCTGTGGTGTAAATAGTTTTTTTTTGTTCCTGGGTTGTGAAGCCCTGCTGCCCTCCTGTCCTTCAAAACATGGAGAAGAAAGAGAGAAGAAGAGTTCGAAAACATCTAGATGTCACATTAAAGACTGGGACCTGAATGAAATTCTTTGTCATTTGTAATTAAAAATGAGTACCTTGAATCCTGTTTGCCTCTCTGGTTTTCAGTTGGTGCATAAAGTCAAGAGGTGCAGAATGAGATGCTGAGAGATTTTTGTGTAACAAGTTTTGGTATTTAATATTTAATGAGTATATATGGACATGTACAGAAATGTGGTATTTACAGAGGCTTGATACATTCACTTGTCCAAGTTTGGAGTTTAACACGAGAATGATCTGCAATAAATGCCATCAAATCCTGAACCCAAAACCATCAGACACACATGCACTGCAAAGTAAACTGTATGTTAGTAGACAGGAACTCTTGACCGATTATTAAGTTGCACAGACGACTGTTGAATACATAATTTGGTTCTGTGGTGAATGCCTGGTTAAAGTCTGACTTGTTCTGTAACATCTGTGACTATTTTTCCCTACTATTCCAGTAGGTCTAACTTTCTCCAGAGTTTTATTAAGCATGAATGAGAGGAAAAAATTAAGGAGTTGGAGAAATCCAGCTATTGAAGGTTTCAAGTCAAAATTAAAAATCTTAGTTCAGACTTTGCATCAGTTTTGTTAGTTTGAGTTTTGTCAGTAAAGTCAGTTAAATCTTAACATTCAAGCTAGATAATTTTATTCCATGGAAGCTGTATTGTTGGAGATGTACCATTACAACTCAGGTTAACTGGATATAAGGAATACTTTATTCTTAAAACATCTGCCCTTAACTGGTATGCCTCATGAATCTAAATTATATAATTTCCCCCACATAACACTTTAGTATGCAAGCGGTGTTTTTAATCTTACTAAAATAAAACAAATGTAAATTTTATTTTGTGTGAACCAGGAAGATAAGTGCAACAATCATGGCCTACATTCGTCTGTGTGTCCATTACCCCAATTTAGACTGAAACACAAAACGTTTTTTTTTTTTTTTTTTGGTTTTGCTTTAGCCTACTTCTAAAACTTCTACATCAGTTCAGCTGAAATTTAACAAGGACCTAAATATTAGAGCAAAGAATATCCCACAATACAAGACTACAATATTTTGATTGTTAGTCTTTTTGTTGGGAAAGGATTGAAGTCCTTATAAAAAGAAATATTCAGGACTTTGAGATCAATCTTTTCCGTATTAAGAGCTATTTTTGTTTTTCTACATGTACAAGTTGGAAAACCTGAAGAAAAGATAGTCTTGCTGCATAGTGTGCTTGGCGGTTCTTACTAACTACTAAAACTACTGTCTTTGCTCTACCCTAAGACACTAAAAAGTGAGCACTTTCAACCCTAGTAACAGAGGGAGGGTGGGCGTCCTGCGTCCTAGCTGTCTTTCTTCTCTCTGGTCATCTTGATCATGGTCTCTGGCGATCGGTAGAGGAAGATGAGTTTCTCGAACAGCGTCTCCTCCAGCTCCATCTCTCCGGTCTCCCGTACCACGAAGATGTCCGTGCACAGCTTCAGGACTCTGTCCACGCAGGGCAGCTCCTCAAACATGATGGAGCGAGAGATCCCGTTGAAGAACTCCCGGACGAACTTACCGATGACGAGAACCACCGACATGTACAGGCCGACAATTCTGCAGCCAAGAAAGAAAGAAAACACTTCAAATTAAGAATCACGTCTTTGTGCTTTGTCTGTTCTAAATCAAAACAACTGCAATGTTATTTATCAAAAATAGTTTGAAATATTCAATCAGCCAGACCAAAGAATCTGGTTAGTTGCTAATGTGCTGCATGATTAATAATACAAATAAACATTGACCAGATTATATTACTGAATGTGCGGAGCAAAAGTGTTGGTATATTTTTTGGTAAGTCCCACATCTTTTTTTTTTTTTTTTTTTCTACCTACCCATGTCCGGCCAGAAAGCCCAGACTTGAAGGGCTGACCTTGTCATTGAACACCACAATCTCGATGCTGTGGCATTTCTGTTCGCCGGAGGTGAGAACCGAGGAGCACTCCTCTACCACCCACCACTGGCCCGCCTCCTTGTCCGACGTGCCGTTGGCCTGCTGGAGCTTGATGGACATGGGCCGGAAGAAGGCAAGTCCACGGAGGTCCGAGCCCTCGGATGAGTCTGAGGGAAACGTGCCGAGGAGAAAGTCAAGTTCTAGATTCATACCAGATAAACTATCAGAATAAAGTATTGCACCAATCATGTGTTGGCCTAAATCGTAAACTTAAGCAACATTCTCAGGGGCAAGTTATCGTTCAGAAATGACCACTACCCCCTCAGTGCACGGATGCTTACCTACTGACATCCTGGTTGCCATTTTCGAGTCTTGTCCTTTGGGACCTCGTATGTATTTTGGCAGAAGAGAATGAATTATCCTTCAGGAAAGAAGACACAAATAAACACCTTTATTAACTTATTTACTTAGGATCAACATTATTAGCTTTTTCTTCTTTTGCTCTTTCCTTTGGTTTGTTATTTTGTTTGTATTTCCTTTTGATTCTTCTAAACCACTTTGTTGCTGAAAATGTGCTATATAAATAAAATTACCTTCAACTTTTTCTTTCCAAAAAAAAAAAAAAAAACTGTTCTATTCACATGAACTGTCTTTGTCTTCCTGTACCTATAGATATCTTATTATGATGTGTTGAATTTGACTTTTCGCAGATAAGTCGGTATAATAAATCAT